TTAAGTCAATAGTGAGGAATTCAAACAAGGAATCATCTGAATCAACTTCAGTTAAATATGTTGCAGGCAAGACACAAACTGGCAGAAAGTTGAAGCTCTGGACTAAACCTGCTGACCTTTTCAGTTTTGGCCAATAGTCTTTGACTTTATCCATTTAATTGTTGTCCTAAATCTATAACAAATGCTATTGCTAACGATCCTTCTTTCTATTTGTTTGGATTCTTATCCTAAATCTATAACCAATGCTGTTGTTAGGGATCCTTGTCTCCATTTGTTTTGATTCTTATCTTATATCTTTAACAAATTCTCTTACTTGTTGTTAACGATCCTTCTCCCTTGTCGTTTTATTTAAATTCTTGTCCTAAATCTATACCAAATGCTCTTGTTAATGATCCTTCTCTCTATTCGTTTTGATTCTTATCCTAAATCTATAACAAATTCTCTTGTTAGGGATCCTTGTCTATTTGTTTTGATTCTTATCCTAAATCTTTAACAAATTCTCTTATTAACGATCCTTGTCTCTATTTGTGATTCTTGTCCTAAATCTATAACAAATGCTCTTACTTGTTAACAATCCTTCTCTTATCGTTTTAATTCTTGTCCTAAATCTATCATAAATTCTCTTACTTGTTGTTAACGATCCTTCTCTCTATTCGTTTTGATGTAAGAAAATCTGACACGAATCAAACTTTAAGGATCTTCAAAAAGCAGAGTGAGAAACAACCCTCTACAAGTTGTTGTTCTTGTTGTTGTTCAGTGTTAGGCAGCATTCCTCAACACCGGCTGGATGATAAGAAAACTGACTTACACCCGAGCTGTGCACAGCAGCAAATATTTAGTCAGGTATCTACACCGAATGTCGAATTAGAGCATGTCATAATAGAGTTAACGAAGACGAGCGTTTGAGGTTTGAGGAGGCCAGATCTTTGAGTGAACCTGCTTTCCACCAAAAGGGGACCCAGATTTGTAGGTATGGGTCTGCTCATACCTACGTGAGTGTGTGTGTGTTTGGGCCTTACCTGTTGAAGTGAGGAGTCCTGGTGAAAGCCACTGTCTTTAAAGTCCACCTCATCGTCGCTGGACGAGTGGATGTGGTGAGTGTTCACCTGAGGAAGGACAGATAACCGATTAAGTTTTAGAAGCACAACTCTACCGTCTTTATTTTGTTCTTTATTCTTTCATGAGTTTTCAATAGCCATTCTGGGAACTGTCACCATACTAAAATGTTCAACTAGATACCGATAATCAGGAAAATATTCGATAATCGATACCATTTTCAATACCACAAGGATAAAAACAAAGAACCCAAAATTTAACAGAATTTTAGTGTCTTTGGTTTCAAACTGACCTGTTACTGATGTTATGGTGGCCCACATTAATGTTGGCGTGTTGTTATTAGCCATTAGCCGCAGCTAGCAATTCAATGCTAACATCACATTAATGATCATAAACAACGTAAATTAATCAATAAATACATCAGAGAGAGGGGGGGGGGGTATCCATACTTTTGAAAATGAGTATCGTATCTGGGTACGACGTTTTAGTATCGATGCTTTTTTGAGTACCGATACTTTTGACAACCCTACTGGGAAAATGCATCTATGATCCCTGAGGCCTTCATACACTGTGGTGTAACAGTTATAACAGAAATAAGGCTTCGTCCGCTGTAGGAGGGGGCAGCCTGGTGAACTATATTCACCAAACGATGCACAAACAGTAGGGTTATTTACACCAACTGTGCCCAAGCTGAGAATAGGGACGTCCTGATCCGGCTTTTTTCACTTCATACCCATCCCGGCCTATCAGAGCATGTATTAAAGTTTAAAGTTATTTATCTACTAACTTAGTTGTCAGACTCATGTTGAACAGGGATTTACTCTGATAACAACTTAATGGACACAGACCTCAGAATCAGAAATCAGACCTGTGGGTTAGGAGATGCTAATGCTAATGCTCGTGTGGGATCGGACTTAAAAAAAAAAAATCGGTCCCAGATATGGGTCCGGAATCACCTTTCTGAGAATAATGAAGTCACTTTGCTGGGCTTTCTGGTTGCCCAAGAGAGAGAGGAGCAGTGTTAAATGCTGCCTATAGTGCACCGGATGCTAACATTAGCGTAGCACTGTCCCGGCCGCCTCACTCTGTAAACACACAACAGCTTTTAGCTTTTATCCTGACTGGGGACTTAAAGATGTTCTTTCCAACTCCGTGCAATATGTACAATGTCACACCAGTGGACAGAACACTTTGGACAAAGTATATAAAAACAAAGAGGGATTACAGAACAATTCCCTTCCCCCGTTTGGGGCAGTTGGATCACACCTCCGTGCTAATGGCCCCAGTTTATAAAGCCCTAAGAGAACAAAGCCAGCTGTAAGAGCCGTTAAAACCTGGCTAAAGGAGCAGTCTGCCAGCTATAGGACTAACAGGACTTGTTGTTTTTGAATAACTGGACTTTCAGGGTCACACCAAGAGTGTGCTCTTTTACATAAGGACCTAAACTGATACTGTTAGAGGGGACAAATACAACAACAGAAAGCCCAGGATGACTACAGCCAAGCCTGGCAAACCTGGAGAAACTTCTAAACTGGAATATAAAAGAAAGCTGGACAGGTGGAGAATCTTTCCATGGATTATGGATTTCAGTTCAGTGTTTAACAACATCCTGCCGGACACACTAGTCCAAAACCTGGATGGTTCACCTCAGGGACTTCTACTCATGGACTAAAAAACTCCTAAACAATAGTAGCTTCAATGCAGGACAAAGAAAAAAGCAAAACAAATACAGTGAGCCCTCGCTATATTGTAATAGACCTTTCACGGTCTCGCTGCTTCACGGATTTGCATCGTACATTGTGTTCTGCATTCTGATTGGCTAAACAGCTTCTTCTCTACCTGCTTGCTAAATTTAAGTTTGCCAATTCTCTTGCAATTTCAAGTTTCTCTAAAACCTGTAATGTTGAGAAAACAGTCTGCACTGACAAAGGCCTGAAAGGCAGAAGAAGAAGCTAACTATCGCAGAAAAAGTCAAACCCCTGGACATGCTAAAGGAAGGGAGAAGCTATGCGGCTTTAAGTCGGAGTTGGAGTTAATGAATCTTCCGTTCGTTCCATAAAAAAGGAGGAAAATAACAGGACGACAGCAGCAATTAGTTTTAATAAGGATGGGCCAGGGCTGATCTCCGCAATTATTTATTAAAAATAAAATGTTTATACAGTACTTTTAATTGTTAAACAAATGCTTGGGCCTGTAAAAAGGTTTTGTTCTTTGGTTTAAATGTATTATGGAGCATTTCATTGTTTAATAATTGTAAAAAAAAAAAAAAAAAGGTTACTACTTCACGGATTTCGCCTATCACAGGTTCTTTTTGGAACATGAACCCAGCGAAAAACAAGGGTTCACTGTACAGCAAATGTTGTTGTTTTGTTTTTTTTAAATGTGGGTAAAAGGACAGTAGTGGATCCACTTGAACCCTCATTCGTGGTTCCACATCAAACCCACTTTGCTCCACTAGAGGACCAGCGTAACAAAGGATGTTCCACTGTCCAGTACCAAGCGTTTAATAATAATGTGAAATAATGACTCAATTGCTACGATAATAAAGTTACTCACCAAGTCCACGGTGTTCCTTTTGTTGGTGTCAGCGAGCTGCCCGGAAATAAACGCCTCCCATTTCTCCCTGTCTTCTACGGGCAACTCTGTCACAGACACACACAACTTAGATCTTTTCCGTTACTTAAGATCGACTTGTAGTTAAAAGTAACAACCCCTGTGAAAATGGAATTTAAATAATTTGGCAGAACACACGCAGGCTCTCAGGAGAGGTTCAGTAATAACAGAAAAAGGGGGTTGAGCTTTGTGAGTCTTTACCAGAGATGAGCTGCTGGATCTGGGCTCCGTTGGGCCCTTTGTCGCTGTTGTGGACTATGGAGTTGGCTATTCTTGTGAGGTGACCCATGTAGCCTCGTCGCCGGCCTCCTTCTGCCCTTTAACGCAAACACACATCGGCAGGATGAGGAGCGGGGACGTTTGACATGAGAGAGGCGGACGTAAATATCCGGAACGCGAATACGTACTGTTCTTTTTCGTTGGAGCTCCAGGCCTCTACGATTCTCTGTATGAACTGGCATTTTTGAAAAAGCTGGAGAAGAAACAAAGAATATTCAGATGGCGTTCAGCGTGATGCAAACTGCTAAATCAAACAAAGTAAAACAGACAGCCTATTATTTGGGGGCCTTAAGTCACTGTAGGAGCCTCGGTTGGATATCCAACTCCTCCCACATCCAAGTCGGCCATTTTGATTAGGTCATGTGACTAGCAGCCTTCTCAGGTGGAAACGAAACTTTACTGTCTATACGAAAACGGAAGACAATCGATGTCCTAACCCTAACCCCTAAAGCTAACCCTAACCTGACCCCCTGACCCTAAACCTAACCCTTAACCCTAACCCTAAACCTGACCCCCTAACCCTAACCCTAACCCTGACCCTAACCCTCCACCCTTCATAATTGTGAGAAATAAATATTTTTTGGTTAAACTAGTTTGGACTTATTGTACAAACCTATTTAACATCCACTATTTTAACATAATATTATGTATAGAGTTGAATTCAGTGTTTGCAAGATTCATTTCACTATTTTCAAATGAATGTCTATATTGAAGCATGAAGCAATTACGATTTTCTTGGCTGGAATCTTCCTATTGGTGACCTAATCAAAATGGCCGACTTGGATGTGGGGGAGTTGGATATCCGTCCTTGGCTGCTGGAGGGAAATCCCTCAACACTGAAGCTGTGGGGTTTGTGGTGGCTTGTGTCGTCCATGTTTTATTTCTAATCCATACAAGAACTTCATTCAACATTCTGCTGGATGTTGCTGGAGAGCTGAACTGAACCATTTTAAGCAGGTTCACAGTTGTGTGAATATTTATATTCATATATATGGTGGTGTAGTGGTTAGCATAGTTGCCTTCCAAGCAGTTGACCTGGGTTCGATTCCCGGCCAATACAGCTCCTCCCTACCCTGTAAGTTGCTTTGGATAAAAGCGTCTGCCAAATGCATGAACATGAACATGAACATATTTCAGATATCTCACGTGTTTGATGAGGATGCTCTCCCGGACGTGGCCCTGCTCCGCCTCCGGCTGGACGTCTGTTGGGGCCGGGGGCATGGCCAGGATCATCGCCGTGCAGATCTCCACTTGAATGTGGAGGAAGTTGTTCCAGATGTATTTAAAATACATATCCTGGGGAGCAGAGGGAGTTGGATTAGACGGGCAGCAAAAAAAACAACAACACCTTTTCAGAGTCCATGTAATTTCAATGCTCAATAAATCCATTTTAGTTGATTATTATTATATATTAAACTCAACTGTTTTGGTGGAAATACCTACAAGCTCTATTAGAAACTTGAGTTTAGGGGGGCTTATTTTCAATTTAAAGTCAGCATTGGAAATAGATATAGATAGACAGATACACAGATAGATAGATAGATAGATAGATAGATAGATAGATAGATAGATAGA